ATTACTGAGGCGACACGAATAACAAATATTTCTTGTACACTTATAGATCACTATATAACATCTATGCCAGAGAAAATTAATTCGACTGGCGTAATTCATACGGGAATTAGTGATCACAGCTTAATTTATGGTATAAGAAAAATCAATCCCATTGTGTCTACACGCAATATGACCAGGAATGTTGAGGTCAGAAACATGAAAAGGTTTAACCATAACTCTTTTAGAGATGATCTTCTAGCTCAGCCATGGGAGCAAATTGTTCTGGAATCAAATACTGATTCCATGTGGGCCCTTTGGAAAAAGTTATTTTTGGAAGTCTTGGATAAGCATGCCCCTGTTCAGCGTATTAGAAAAAGAAAATCCGGCGTTCCGTGGCTGGCTGGGGAAATTAAAAAAATTATCTTTGAAAGAGATAAATTAAAGCGTGAGGCAATGGTGACTGGTACCCATGCTGCTTGGGATAAGTACAAATCAACTAGGAATAATGTCAATATTGCCCTACGACAAGCTAAAACAGATTATTTTCGCACTAAAATATCAAATCAAAATAATAATCCAAAAGAGGCTTGGAAGACAATCAATAACTTACTCGGTCGTTCTCCAGGTAATACTGTTGTTAATGAATTAAAATTTAATGATACAAAAATTACCTCACCTGAAGAAATTGCCAATGCTTTTAATACATATTTTACTGACATTGGCCCTAACTTAGCTAGTTCTATTGATGATACTGACATTACGTTTGATCGTTTCGTCAAACCAGCTACATCAAAACTGACACGCTTTAAGTTAGTTTCACACACTAAAGTAGTCAAGCTTCTAAATGGTTTATCCAATTCGAAAGCAACTGGTCTTGATAAAATATCTGGAAAGATCTTAAAAACTGCAGCCCATACTATTGCCTTATCACTCACACACATCTTTAATCATGCTATCATAACAAGCTGTTTTCCATATGAATGGAAAGCTGCTAGACTTCTACCACTTCATAAAAAGGGTCCACGAGATCTCCCAGAAAACTATAGGCCAATCTCAATCTTACCTGCAATAAGTAAAGTTATGGAAAGAATTATGTATGATCAGATCTACGAATACCTTAACGACAATTCGATCCTTTCTGAACACCAATTTGGTTTCCGCAAATCTCATTCAACTGCTTCGGCTCTTTTGGATTGCACGAACAGTTCGTACGTTAATATGGACCGCAAAATGTTTAATCTGGTTGTATTATTGGATTTAAAAAAGGCCTTTGATACTGTAAACCATGATATTTTGGTGCGAAAACTTGAGCTATACGGTATCAATGACAGTGCCTTAACCATGATACAATCATACTTGTCTGATCGCAAAACAGAAATGCCAACTGGAGACGTAATGTCATCTGAGCGGCATGTGACATGCGGTATTCCACAGGGATCCATCCTTGGTCCACTTCTCTTCCTCTTATATATAAATGATCTTCCAGAATGTCTTCATGAAGCTGCCCCTCGGCTATTTGCCGATGACACCACTCTTACGGTAGCTGGTGAGTCAATAGAGGAAGATGAGTTGGCCATGAATAATGATCTCCTTAGTGTACATACCTGGCTTTTAGCCAACAAACTGAGTCTCAATGCTTCAAAAACCGAATTTATACTTATTGGTTCAAATCACAGATTAACGAACCTTACTAATCAACCAAATATAAAAATAGATCAAGGCAAAATTAAGCAAGTTCATCATAGTAGATTACTTGGGGTTCAAATTGATGAAAAATTGTCTTGGAACAAGCATGTTGAAAGCGTGGCCAAGAAGGTTACTTCTGGTGTAGGAGCTTTAAGAAGAATACGTGACTTTGTCGATAGGGAAACCTTGATCTCTATCTACAATGCTTTAGTTCGCCCTCATTTCGATTATTGCAGTGAGGTATGGGATACCTTGGGCATTGGCCTTTCAACTCGACTTCAAAAACTGCAGAATACAGCGGCGAGAATAGTAATGAGTATGACAAATGATACCCCTGGATTAGAAGCAATTACTGCCTTAGGGTGGGAAACTCTTGAGTCTCAACGAGCTAAGTCTAAAGCAGTACAAATGTACAAAGTTTTAAATGATTTGTCCCCAAATGCACTTGTTAATCTTTTTATGCGTAAAAGTGATGTCACAGATTACGAGCTTGGGGGTTCCTCTACATCACTGCAAATCCCTTTTCCCAGGACTGAAAATATTAAGAAAAGTTTTTCTTACGATGGGGCGAAATTGTGGAATTCCTTACCTGAAGATTTGCGTGATTCGGCTACCTTGCCAATATTTAAAAGTCGAATTAGTGCTCACAATTTCTCATAATATAATGTAAATATAATTATTATGGTATAATATTACGTTGACTATTGTAAATATGTTCATTTTTAATGTTTGTTACTATTTATAATGTAACTGACACGCCCCTCGTGGAAATCAGCGAAAGTTGACGAGGCTAGCGTGTGATTTTTAAATAAAGTTTATCATCATCATCATTTCACAAGGCCGTTTCACGAGGCGTATCTGACGAATAAAGTTGTGTGCCCGATGGCTGAATGCTTGGAAAACTTTCGTTTTTTTAAAGAAAGTGGACTTGCGCATCATTTCCGCACTGTTCACAACCGACAGATGGTGCCGCAAGATACGAAGAATTCAGCTTTGGCCATGAAACGTATGTTTGGCGAAGAAACTTTAAGATTTATTAAATATATCTCTGAGAGGAAATCCGAGGTGAGCTTTTTGAATGATTAGTTTATTTACCCACAAATAATATTTACAAGTTGAATATTTAAGAATATATAAACGGGCTAGAGACCTCTGGAAATCCTGTTGGACTTTTAAGACGAGGCCCCTATAGTTTTAGTGTTCAGTAATATAAAACTAGATTATGTACATAAAGACAATTTGCAATGAAAAACACAAAGTATTTACAAACAAATATGGAAAATGTTTAAGGAATATTTAGTACATTACAGAATACTGTCATTAATATTCCTGAAATATTTACATCAACTAGACATCAAGTAATAAGATTTTGCAGTTTTCTTAAAAGAAAAATAAGATTTAATATTTTTAATTTCCTCATCAAGGTAATTCCATATAGAAACTCCTTTGTTAAATACAGTGTATTTGCGATAGTTTGTTCTCTTATAGCTCACATGTAACTTGGTAGAATTTCGAGTATTATAGTTGTATAGTTCGTTATTTTGTTTGAAGTAATCATTATAAAAGTCCGGGAAATTTTGACAATAATTGAAGCGATACATGAATAAGCTGCATAGATAATCATTAATTTTGTAGATATCCAAGATTTTCAATTGTAAAAATATTGGTTCAGAATGATCCATATAAGATTTAAAACAGATTAGTCGTACAATTTTCTTTTGCACATTTAGTAACTTTTGTAACCTTGTTGGGTATGTACTTCCCCAAACTAGATTTCCGTACGTGAGGTATGGATAGACCAATGCATAGTAAATCAATTTCGAAGTGTTTTTGTTCGTAAAATGTCTTAGTTTAGCAATCAGACCCGCAGATTTAATTATGTTTTTCAGAACGGAGTTGATGTGGTTCTTCCATGTCAACTCTTGATCAATTAATACACCTAGGAATTTTACCCAAGGTACTTGTTCAACTATATCATTATTTATTTTTACTATGATTTCTTGATGCTGTGACTTTTTTTTTTATTTAAAAATGACAAATTTTGTTTTCGATGCATTGATTGATAATTTATTGGCGTTAAGCCATTGCACTACTTCATTCATTTCATTTTGTATAGTACTAGCTAAAGTTTTTAGGCACGAATTTGAATAAAAGGCATTTGTATCATCGGCATATAAGACAGAAGAAAGAATTTTACTGCAGTTTTCAATGTCATTAATGTATATTAGAAATAGTAGTGGTCCAAGAATTGAACCCTGTGGGACGCAAGTCCTAACACTCATTTCAGTTGACCTATGTTGTTTATATTTGACTATTTGAGTCCTTTCCTGTAAATAATTTATAAACCATTGTAGACCTATACCTCTAATTCCATAGTGTTGAAGTTTTTTATGAGAATTTCGTGATTGACAGTGTCGAAGGCTTTAGAGAGATCAAGGAATATACCTACAGTATATTTACCTTCATCTATTGCTTTGGATATTTTATCGGTTAGTTCAAGAATGGCATGCTCAGTTGATCTATTTTTTCTGAAACCAAATTGATGTTCTGAAAGTATACGATGTTTTTCAACATAGTTAATTAATCGCTTGTGCATAAGTTTTTCAAGTAGTTTTGAAAAACAAGTTAATACCGATATAGGTCGATAGTTTTCAAATAGATTATTTTCCTTAGCTTTGAAAATAGGAGTAACTAAAGCTATTTTCAAAAAAATTGGTATTTTTCCAGTTTCAAATGATAGATTATAAATATATGTTAGAGGTTTAATTATTTCTTCACTGATGATCTTTATCATTTTCGCGCTTATGTCATCATGTCCTGCACTTTTAGTTTCACTTAAGTTATTAATCTCAATTTGCAGCTCATATTCAGTCACAGGTTCTATAAACATACTTTCAACATAGTTGCCATTAAGGTAGCTTTCATACGTTATGTTATCATTTTTGGGATTTTTTTTCGCTAGTTGTGGACCAATTTTCACAAAATATTCGTTAAATTTGTTAGCAATTTCCAGAGGATTTAAAACATTATTATTTGAATTCTTCTGTAAAAAAGTATCGGGTAGTTTTGATCTGGTTTTATTTCTGTTAAGAACTTCGTTAATAGTTTGCCATGTCTTTTTAATATCATTTTTATACTTAAGAAATTGTGTTTCATAAAAGGCCTTTTTTGCGGTTTTTATTACGTGATTCAGTTTGTTTTTGTATTTTTTATAGGCTGTTTCATTTCTATAAGATGGCTTTTTTAGAAAATTTTTATAGAGTTTATTTTTCTTGGATATAGATTTAAATATACCAATTGTCATCCAGTGACTTTTTGTGTGATCCACAGTTTTCTTTTTTATTTTTGCTAAAGGAAAACATCTATCAATTGCTACCTTCAAATTATTGTGAATTTTCGTGATATTTTGCAAATAAAAAGCTTCGAGTAATGTATTATATTTTTTGTGCGCAAATATATTCAAATTCATGCGTGTAATATAATATGCACATAATTTTATATACATGTGCTTTTAACTTTTACGAAAACATTAGCTAGCAATCAACCGGTACTTGGTTCAAAGTTTCATGCAAAGGAAATTCTGATGTATTTGCCCAAGATGCAAAGGAAGCCTCAAAAATTTATGGAATGTATCTGCTGCATTCTGGAAATCTGAAGTCATATGCTGACAAAGATAATGCGTGTCGTATATCAGTACGGTAATCTTCAGGAGAAGCACGCTTTAATGCTTGGCATACCAAGCAACCGATGGAAGAAGGCATTGAAGGAACAGTCGTTTTTGTTGAATGCTGCCATATGAAAAAGGTACAGTAATTTTGTGTTATTTTCTCAAAATACTTCACAGTCTGAACAGTGCAGACTGCACTGACTGAAAATCATAAAATGTGCTGTACTGCTGTTTAGTTGTGCTTCACAATGTTGTTTATACTGTTCAACACAGTTAAACACATGACATTAAATACTGCTTAATGTAAACTTTCCCCTTGACTTCATTAGGAATTGAATGTGATTTATGTGTGTGCCTGAATGAATGGATATGTCACATAAATTTAATCAAATTTGAAATGAACATTATAATATTTACAATTATTATTTATTATTAATGTCACTTATGATCGGTTTAAAACAGAATTCAATTGAATATTCCATAATATACAAATGATAAAAGAAATATTCCACAATAAATGATTTATATTAAATAACATTCCATAAATTCCATAAAAAATAATATTTCAAAATAATGAATAATATTCATAATAAATGAATTATTATTCAGGCTGTTTCTTGAATTTTTATAGTACTTGCAAAATATACCAGCTCAAGATCAAATTCATTCTGTTACGATACAACAATTGCAAGGGAGCACCAACTATCTATCTACCACTAGTTCTGATGCATCATCCAAGAAAATGAGTGTGTTGCAAACCATATTTGGGTATGAAAAGTTCAAGGGCAGACAAGAAGAAGCAATCGACGCCATCCTTTCCGGCAGTGATTGTTTAATTATTCTCCCTACTGGTGCTGGAACAACACTGTGCTATTCAATTCCAGCTATAATAGCTGGTGGATTGACGGTTGTCATTTCTCCACTCCTGTCACTGATGCTCGATCAAGTACAACATTTAAGATCTAAGGGTCTTAATGTTGCAGACATTAATTCCTCAGTGGCCGATGATGATCAAAATACCATCATACATAACATGGTATCTGGCAACTCACCCTATAATTTTGTATTTGTCACACCAGAGAATGTTGGAACAGAGGAGATGAAAAGTGCATTTCAGACTATAAAAACAAATGGTAGACTGAAATACATTGTAATTGATGAATGCCACTGTGTCGACATGTGAGGATTTGACTTTAGACCAGCATATGCTCAACTTGGAGTTCTATCGCAATTACAGTGTCCAATAATTGCATTAACTGCTACATGTACTGCCAGAACTGAAGGTGTCATTATTTCATCTCTTCAAATTACAAGCCAAAATCATTGTAAGAGAGACATGCAATCGCAAAAACATTTCCCAAATTGTTAAAGAGAAGAAAGGAGATGGTAAAGATCAAGTGGCAAATGAAATTGTGAATGAACACAAAAACAAATGTGGCATTATTTATTGTTTACAAAGGTCTGACACGACAGACATGGCATATTTGTTACAAATGCAAGGGATTAATGCCACATATTATCATGTTGCGCTTGATCCATACAAGAAGAAACAGAACTTCCAAGCTTGGCTGGACGGAAAAGCCCTGGTTATGTGTGCAACAATTGCATTTGGGATGGGAATTGACAAACCAGATGTCCGTTTTGTAATCCACTTGAATTTACCCCAGTCACTGGAATGTTATGCCCAAGAATTTGGCCGTGCTGGCAGAGAGGGAGAAGCTAGAGTCGACATCGTGTATACTTTTCCGTTTTGAGGACCGTACAAGACACATGCAAATGATTTCTTCATTACTGGAGAGCGAGCACCGAGATTTGAAAAGAAGAAAATTGAATGAGGTTATCAAATATTGCATCATACCCAAATGCAAGAAGCTTCAATTGGTCCACTATTTTTCTGAGGACTATAAAGATCCTTGTTGTAACATGTGTGATGTTTGCTTGGGAACATGCAATATGGAACCACAAAACGCTAGCACTGAGGCTCTCGGGGTATTAAGTTGTCTCAACAATATACGCATTGTTCAAAACAAGGTTACATTGAACTTGTTAATGTTGGTTTACAGAGGGTCTAAACGGAAGGAAGTTGTAAGCAAGTCATTGCATGAAGTTCCAGAATTTGGTCATGGAAAGAGTGCATTTTCTCAATCCGAGTTAAAGCAATTCATCTACATGTTAATAGCAGAAGATGTGATTCTAGAAGAACTTAGAGGACCAAACGAAATTGGCTCACATCCATATTTATGGTGTGGAAGCAAAGCTGGAATGATAAGTCAAGGTGAATTATTAATTAATAGATGTAAGTATGTTAAATAATCACATGTGCTAATCAAATATATAAAACATTATAATTGGGAAGATATGAGCAGCAGTATTTCTTAAATTTGCAACAAATTAATACTGGTTATTGGTATACTATTAACAGTATGTCTGAAAAAAAAGGAATCAAACTTGAACCGACTATTAAAATTGCTGTTTGAAAACTCATTTTGACACTGTTACGAGTTTAGTTCAAAGCCAAGAATTTAAAAGTAATCCCCAAGTGGTCTAAAATTCACTAATTTGAAATAGTTTTTGAAATCCAAAAGCCCTAGTACTGACTCGTCCCCAGTCGCTTACTTAAGGCGCGTTGATTTACCCAACGCCACGCCTCGGGGCATTCCCATGGTCCTTTGCGTTATAAGCAGTGTTAGGGACTGTGGAAGAGTCAGGCCCTAGTATTTTCACAAGATAAACTACTCTTATAACACAATTCCTGTATGATGATGGTATGGAGACTATGGAATTTATCCATAACTCATTTTGCTATTGGTTAATTAAGAAATACACTAATACAGATTGACAAAAGTAATAATGATGATGTTCTGAATTCATAACACAGTTGTGAAATGTGATTTTTAATAGCAATTTTGAAACTACTGTACCGGGACTGTATGTAGCCATTTTTGTTCCTAATTTTAAACTCAATATTCAAGGAGCAACAGTTTGTTGAAGTTAACTTTTTTAGGCCTCCTTAGCCATCCTTAGGTCTCCTTAGCCCTCCTTACCCCCTTCTTAGCCCTCCTTAGCACTCGTTAGATCTCCTTAGATCTAATTAAACGAGGTCGGGAATCTTCGAGTTAAACCCTTCGAGTTAAGCCCCTCGAGTTAAGCCCTTTTCGAGTTAAGCCCCGGCCACGCCCTGTTTTGCCATGACCACGCCCTTTTTCAAAAAGGGCTTAACTCGAAGAACAAAACACGATTTGGGTTATTCGAGTTAAGCCCCTGGGCTTAACTAGAAGTTTGACAAAAAAGTTGTTGCTCGATTTAAGGCCCGACTTTTGAAGTATGTCAACGAGTGCAATATTAAATTACCAAATTTTCAATACAAAAAAGACAAAGCACAAAAATTTTCCCAAAAAGAACTTATATATCGCTAATGTAATACGATTATCAAAAACAATCACAACTATTTAGGGAAGGAATTAATGACTCGCGCCTCATATGCACATGTACAGTAATTTTATTAACCAAATGATTACGAATCACGAATGGTTTCATTTGGGTAAACAAGTTATTACGAGGAGAAATTGTTACATTTGAGTAAAATACCCATTACCCAAATGTAAAAATTTATTCCAGTAATAATGGCGCTACGTCACCATTTCGTTTATAAAATTACTAATCGCTCTGCAAATATTCCCGTTTACAAGTCAACGTAGCTAGCGCCATTATTAGGCCACATAAAAAAATAGTTGGTTAGCGTCCTTAGCTTTTGCCAATAAGTGGGCAGGCGGGCGCTTTTTTTTTATTTTTACTAATTTTTAACACCTTGGTTTTAGGTCCGAAACTGGATTTTCGTGCGCAAGTACAGATATTTTTTTATATATTTCAAAATATGATTCATACCGTCATTTTCGCACGCAATTTCGCAATTTATTAACACAATCGACTACAGTCAACAGAAATACTACATATATTAGAGCCCGTACATTTGGTATTTTACCCAAATGTAACAATTTCTCCCCGTGATAATTTGTTTACCCAAATGAAACCATTCGTGATGGGTAGGGATAAAACGCTGAAACTGAATCACGGAAACGGAAACTGAAAGCGGAAACTGAAGTGGGGATAAAACGCTGAAATGGGGATAAAACGCTGAAATGGGGATAAAACGCTGAAATGGGCAAATTTAATCGAATTCGTTGTTTGCTAGACCATTGCGAACACATGTAATTTGTCTATAAAACTGAATAAATATAAGAAAGAAGTTACCGGTAAAATGACAACCACAAAATTTCGAAGAACGTCTGCTGCACTATTTGTAAAGTCGTTTGAATTAATTTTGACTATACTATACCTCGCTCGCGGTAAAGATTGACAAATTATGAACCTGCGTTTAATAAACTGAATACTGCAGTGAGACAATATAATGCATGTTTATTTTATAATATAATATAATATAATATAATATAATATAATATAATATAATATAATATAATATAATATAATATAATATAATATAATATAATATAATATAATATAATATAATATAATATAATATAATATAATATAATATAATATAATATACGCAGGGCCTCTTTAAGGATGTGTAACTGAAGGGGGGGGGGGGGATTTTAGCAGGGGACCTCGAGAAGTTCCAGTCGGCAAGTCTCTATCCCTGCAGCTACCAGCATATATATACATGGTTTAACTAATAAGTCTACGTTATAGGGCAGCCGATCAGACCGTAACTAGGATTCTGAGACAACCGAGTCGACCACCAAAGGTGCGACCCTCTAGAGGGGTCTGGGGGCATGCCACCCCCCAGAAAATTTTGAACTCTTGAAGCTCAGATAAGCTATTTCCAGCATTTCGAAAAGTTTTTCAACAAGAAATTAGCCTTATAAACAGTGACACAATTACTGCAATTTCACAATCTCCCAAATGTAATGAATGGTGTGGTGATGCGGTAATGAAAATCAGAAAATGTGCGTGGTATAGTATTATCATTCACCACACTTCAAATTCTACAGTATTGTATTACATGTATTGGGGTATACTTGAAATCGAGGGATTCGTCTTCTCAGTGTCACTGAAGAGCAAGATACGGTGGTCTCTTTGGAGTATCTTTACTTGGATTGAAAATTAAACTTTGTCCTAAAATACCATTTCATGCCTTGTTCCACGAGCAAATTATTTCAGTCATGGTTCAGTCCCCAAATTCCTAAGTTACGGGGCTGCAGATAATGATCAAATTCAGAAATGTTAACAGCTTAACATCATTTTCTCACTTTGATACATAATTGCTGGTTAACCACCTACTGCAGGTAGTTATTAGGGACCTCACTGGCGGGGACAAAATTTCCGACTGGAGGGGCCAGTAACAGGGCTGGGGGGACTTGTCCCCCCCCAGTCTATATGTTAAAAGAGGCCCTGAATATACGGTGTTTTATTGGCGAATCCTCCATTATGCATGCATGATAATGACACATGTGCGATTATCATGTTTTGACTCACCAATCAAAAATCAGGATTAAGAGCCGTGGCGGGTAAAACTAGGTTCGTAGTATATAAGACAAACACAAAAATACACGAATGCTTGGAAATCGATGGAATTTATCCGTCTCGTGTTGAGAAAATATCTCTCTCATTCGCTGCGCTCACTCGTTCGATATCTTTCTCAACATTCGAAATAAATTTCATTTTTTTTTTTTTGCAGTCCGGTATCCATGCTTTTTAGGCAATCGAACTGCTTCGTTTGCGGTCCAGTTTTTCACGATACGGACCGCTCAACCGGACCGCTGCGGATTTTAAACTTAAAGTTAAAATATACTTTCTACTGTTTGAAATTAAGAAGCAAAAATATGTATAGCGATGACGAAAGCCACAGGAAAACAACGAAATTTGGAATGAAGGCGAGTTTTTTAACTCCAAAAACGATGGAAAAAACAACGGTTTAAAAGATAAACTGTAATATAAAAGATAAACTGTCAAAATAAAAGATAAACTGTCAGATAAAATTCGTTCTTCGAAAATTTGTGGTTGTCATTTTACCGGGAACTTCTTTCTTATATTTATTCAGTTTTATAGGCAAATTACACTGATGTGTTCGCAATGGTCTAGCCTGTGGTCTAGCAAACAACAAAATTCGATTAAATTTGCCCATTTCAGCGTTTTATCCCCATTTCAGCGTTTTATCCCCATTTCAGTGTTTTATCCCCATTTCAGCGTTTTACTCCGATTTCAGCGTTTTATCCCCATTTCAGCGTTTTATCCCCATTTCAGCGTTTTATCCCCATTTCAGCTTCCGCTTTCAGTTTCCGTTTCCGCGATTCAGTTTCAGCGTTTTATTCTTATATACCCATTCGTGATTCGTAACAATTTGGCTAATAAAATTACTGTACATGTGCGTATGAGGCGCGAGTCTCTGGTCTATTTCTATTAACTGTGGCGCAAGTTGTCAAAGATAGATCATTCTATACCGAAACTCCTTCCCTTTCCTCCCTTTTTCTTTAGTTATTATGTGCTATCATTTTCGATCATTTTCTTAATAGATTAGTTTTGTTCAAGGTGATGGGAAGAAGGTTGCACCTTTTCTATTACAGTAAAACTGTTAATTTGTCAATATTGTGCACATTGAAACAAAAGGAACAGCTAGGATACTATCTACTTTATAATTAAAATATTGTCTTGTTGTTTTGTTGTGGATAAACGATCCACTAAAAGTAATTACCTGTTGTTAAATTTAATATTAATTTAATATGAAAAACCTAAAATATTGTTAACAATAATAGTTGTGATTGTTTTTGATAATCGTATTACATTAGCGATATATAAGTTCTTTTTGGGAAAATTTCTGTGCTTTGTCTTTTTTGTATTGAAAATTTGACAATTTAATATTGCACTCGTTGGCATACTTCAAAAGTCAGGGCTTAACTCGAGCAACAATTTTTTTTGTCAAACTTCAAGTTAAGCCCCGGGGCTTAACTCGAATAACCCAAATCGTGTTTCGTTCTTCGAGTTAAGCCCTTTTTGAAAAAGGCCGCGGTCATGGCAAAACATGGCGTGGTCGTGGCTTAACTCGAAGGGCTTAACTCGAAGATTCCCGACCTCTAATTAAACTTCCTATCAGGTCTTTACACCTTATTATAGATCCTTAAGGAATCTTACGCGGACGCCCTTGTAGTTGTAAAAGCTCACTCACACTCAATGAGTGGAAGTTCAATCCAGTCAGCTTCTGGCTGCTTACTTCCAGTGTCGATGCTGTTTTTGAATAGCTGGAGGGTTCGTGTCGTACCGTACTAAGTGAATGCTCACCCTCCAGCTATTCGAAAACAGCATCGGTACTCAAGAGAATCTTAGATTGAACTTCCACTCATTGAGTGTGCTTTTAGAATACGGGCGTTAGACCACGTCACTGATATTTTTATCTTGGGAGTCCACGCGACGGTCGTATCGTATATTGAACTATATAGTAAACAATAAACATGGCTTACATACTACATAAAGTTCACTGATGGTATAGCTCAGTGTCAGTGGGTCGTATCACGTCTCAGTGCTTCCAATCTCAAAAAAATGCTCAAAATTTCCCTATTTTAGACAAATTTCCCTTGCTTTTAAAGTTGATGAACTTAACGTGCGAAAAAATATCTGGGACGTTTAGTTTTCAAAAAAATACATATTCGAAACCACCGAATATTTCAATATTATTTTTTCAGCATAATCAGCAATATGTTACTTTAATTCCCATCGCCCCCCCCCCCACGCATAAACTAAAAGTTGGAATTTCCAAACTGGCAATGATTTTATGGCAACTGCAACTGAAAATTTGGTGACAATATCAAAATATTCAACAACAAAAACGCGTTTGACAACAATTTATTCCTGCACTGAACTGAAATGTTATCACTTGACAATGCCCTCACGTTCGGCAACAATCGTTTAGGCCTAAGGGCTAAGGAGGCCTAAAGAGGCCTAAGGAGGCCTAAGGAACGCTAAGGAGGTCGAAGGAGGCCAAGGAGGCATAAGGAGGCCTAAGGAGATTTAAGGAGGCCTAAGGATTGCTAAGGAGGGCTAAGGAGGCCTAAGGAACGCTAAGGAGGCCTAAGGAGGCCTAAAGACGCCTAAGGAGGGCTAAGGAGGGCTAAGGAGGCCTAAGGAGGCCTAAGGAGGCCTAAGGAGGTCGAAGGAGGGCTAAGGAAGCATAAGGAGGCCTAAGGAGGGCTAAGGAGGCATAAGGAGGGCTAAGGAGGCATAAGGAAGGCTAAGGAAGCCCAAGGAGGCCCAAGGAGGCCTAACGAGGCCTAGAGGGCTAAGGAGGCCTAAGGAGACCTAAGGAGGGCTAAGGATGCATAAGGAGGGCTAAGGAGGCCTAAGGAGGGCTAATGAGGCATAAGGAGGGCTAAGGAGGCCTAAGGACACCTAACTAGGCCTAAGGAGGGCTAAGGAGGGCTAAGGAGGCCTGAGGAAACCTAGGGAGGGCTAAGGAGGGCTAATGAGGTCTAAGGAGGTCTTAGGAGGGCTAAGGAGGCCTAAGGACGGCTAAGGAGGCATAAGGAGGGCTGAGGAGGCATGAGGAGGGCTAAGGAGGAATAAGGAGGCCTAAGGAGGCTTAAGGAGGCCTAAGGATGGCTAAGGAGGCCTAAGGAAACCTAAGGAGGGCTAAGGAGGGCTAAGGAGGTCTTAGGAGGGCTAAGGAGGCCTAAGGACGGCTAAGGAGGCATAAGGAGGGCTGAGGAGGCATAAGGAGGGCTAAGGAGGGCTAAGGAGGGCTAAGGAGGCCTACAAAGGCCTAAGGAGGGCTAAGGAGGCCTAAGGAG